CCCCAAAACCCCAAAACCCCAAAACCCCAAAACCCCGTGACGATAAATCTTGTAAGTTTGGTAGAAAAGTTATTTGATATTTTTAGAAGCAAAAAAGTAATACTGTGCGAATTGGTATAATTTTCAATTATATTCAAAGAACAATCATCTTTAGTTTTCAATCAATCTATGATGCATTATTTTGATTATCAAATAGGGAACCAAGTTGAAACTTTGTCTCTAGTATCTAATAATTCTTTTTTCTCATCATCATTCTTAGGGGGATATCTCTTTCTGAAATCTCCCTCAGAAAATACATCTTCATCCTCTCTTTTTTATTCTTTGATTCTCGGAAGAGGCTCATTGCTACCTATATTTAGTTCCAATCTGAAATGCTAGTTCATCAGGTATTTCTTCCAGTCTTAGAAATTCTTCTCTATTAAATATTCGCAATCATCCTCATTTAAAGGTCTATTTACTTCTTGACCTTCCAAAATTAATTTAGCTTATGGGAATCTAAAAGAAATTAGCAAATTAAATTGTACTTACTCTAACTCTATTAGATATCGATCTCCACTTATTTTTGTTTAGAAAATCTTACTTCTTTTCTACAAGCTGAAATAGGTTTGAAGGTTCTTTTGTAAGATGAACTTCTCAGTTAGGCTTCTAGACCTTTGATGATTCTTATCTTTCTTATCCTTACTTTTTTCTTTATCTTTCTAATCAGAAACTTCTTTAGAATATGAGCCTTAACAAAAATTGCTCAGCATCTAAGGCTAATCAATTAGGTAACCACTAGTCTCAACCTTTTTTAAAAATTCATTTCCAATTGTCTATATAATCTGCTAGGGATTTTCAGGTTCTTTTTTAATTGCCTTTTTCATGAATTTTATTAAATTTTTCCAACTTGAAAGCTGAAGGCTTTCTTTATATTCGTAAGATGTTTGTAACCCTTTGATTTTAAGATTAAAATTTTTAAGCTTTATTTTCCCCACCATACCATCTCTTTCAAAACATCCTTGCAATGATGGCTTTGATCTTATAATCTTGATTTATTAAAACTCTTTATTAGACTTAAATCTTTACAATTCTTGGTCATCTTATGAGGAAAAAAGTATAATCTCAATGTCTTTTTCTTAATTTGTTTCATCATTATTATTACTATTACTATCTGGCTAATTAGATTGATTTCTTACCAGAGAATTTTTCCCATAACTACTTCCCAAGAGAATATTCTTAGATTTTCCTGGATTTCCTGTCACTATCTCAGTGAATTTAGAATATTGATAAAACTATCTTATTACAATATCATCCCATGATTGAAAAGCTGAGTCCAAATACTCTTGAAGTTCACAGTTTTATAAGATCTTTTATGCCATAATATGCTTTGAAGGAATACTATATTCTATTGAAGGGAGTTTGATGCAGACCTTAAAATCTTTATTTAGCTGTTAGATGTATATACTGGAGTAAACAAAGTCTGGTAGTCCTTTTCCTTCGCTATTAGATTTTTTCTTGTTTGCTGATTATTAGAGAGGTGATAAGAAAGATCTTTCCTCTGATCTTGCCCGAGGAATGATCTTTTTGATAGGACTTTTTTATTATTATCTTTTACGGTCCATTACTTTGTATACAAACTATCCTGAACTCTGATCGAAATGAATATTTCCCATTATCGTAGTTTCAAACAAAGATTTAGGCAAATGAATGACATCTCTTAGTAATTGTGCTGGGATGTATATAGGTGTGTTAATCTTTGGTTTCTCTGAATCTGAATCGATAAGGTATATTTCAACAGATTTAAACATTAGTATTACGTTATTTCCCTGGTGATACATATTTTTTCTCAATACTGGTTTGACATTTTAAAGTAGTATCTCTAGTTCCTACTATTCAGATATTCCAGTGCTAGTTTTGTTTTCAGATGAGAGAGCTTCTTATTGTTATCTTGAAACTATGTTAATTCCAATTTGGCCTTCTTGATTTCTTTGTATTTTCTTTAAAAGCAGTTACTAATTCAAATTATTTGCGAAGTTCGAACCTATTTCTGATTTCATGACTAGTCCAGCTTATAATGGTGGAAGTTTCTCAAATAACCAGACTTTTTTGGGACCAAGCCTCTATCTTTGTTATTATTCTCTTATTTTTACAGGTTTATGCCTAATTTCATTAATGCGGAGAAAATTCACTTACTACTCATATAAATTTTAGAAATTTCTGACTTTCTTGAATTCCTTATTTGCGAACTTCGTAGAATCTAAATCTTAAATTTATACCTTTTTAATTTACTAGGAGATGAAGAAACGGATGAATTATTGTTTTAAGGGCCTGCACTCATTAAAAATGGATTTCCTCCGGATGAATCAGTAGTAGTCATTCTGTAATTCAGGGATGATTAATTTTTTTAATCTCACTTCATGCTTAGAGCATCAGTTTTGGCTTTTAATATATCTGGCAACAGTGAATTCGTTGTACCCTTCATTGTACTGAATTATATCTAAGACTATTGCTCTAAAATAATGGTTGAATTTTTGTAGTAATAATGTTTTTATTTTACAATTTGTAAGTTTTCTTGATTTACTGTTCGACATTGAAACTTTTATTATTATTTGAGATTAATCAAGGTAAAGCAGACTAAAGAATTTTATTTTATTCAATTCAGACTATTAGAAATTAGTTGATGGGGTTTTGGGGTTTTGGGGTTTTGGGGTTTTGGGG